ACCCCCCCACCCCACCAATATATCATCTACATATTTCTACTAGAATAGGAAACCTATCAAATTGTTGGACAGGGGGGAGGCGGAAGAGGTAATGGGGAGTAAGCTCACGATAAATGAGGTGCAATAGAAGAGGGGAAGTCACTTGTGCATAAGATGGGAGACAAACTGACGTGCTAAAGGAGATGTTTGTTGCCAGTGGGATAGTAAAAAAGGAGGAGATTTGAGAGAAGAGATGATTGCCTTGTTTGGAGGTAGGGGTTGAGTAGAAGAGAATGGAACAAAGCTTCCTTATTATAAAATGTGAGGGACACAATATCATTCCTTATTCAAGATATTCCTGATCGTGATCTCTCTTGAAGGATCGGGTGTTACCTCAATTTAAAAGTATGTTTAATTCCGGGAGGTAATTCAAACGGGGGACGAGATCTGACTAATTTGCATGGACCTTAATCCCGCGTACGAATTAGCTCCTATGTCTCTTTTTATGAAGCTTCTTTTCTTGCTGCTTTTTTATGTAAAAAAACCACCAAATTATCTTGTCCTTATACAAGGTCTTTGTGGCACTTTGAGTACATTGTCTCTTTTTCATCATGAGAGCTCATTTCCTTAGTTTGTTTTAATTTGTAGGTTGAAGCTACAGAAGTGTTCTTTGCTGTCACAAAACTCTTTCAGTCAAAGGATCTTGGTCTAAGGAGAATGGTATACTTGATGATAAAAGAGCTTTCTCCCTCAGCTGATGAGGTAAGATCCTAGTTGATCTCCTGTGTTGATTTGTAAAGTTCTACTTATTCTGTGGATGAGAATAACTTTTCATTTCTTTTTGCTCCAAAAGGTAATCATCGTTACTAGCTCTCTTATGAAGGACATGAATAGCAGTACAGATATGTATCGTGCAAATGCTATTCGAGTCCTCTGCCGAATCACAGATGGGACTCTTCTCACACAAATTGAGAGATACTTGAAACAAGCGATTGTTGACAAAAACCCTGTTGTTGCAAGTGCTGCCCTTGTTAGTGGAATCCATTTGCTTCAGGTACTCCCAGAATTTTGAAGAATCCTCTTTCCTTTGGTTGCTTGTTTGGTGGTAGCTTCTTGAAAATCTTCTTTGTTTATGACTTTCCCAGACAAACCCGGAGATTGTGAAAAGATGGAGCAATGAGGTCCAAGAAGCTGTTCAGTCAAGGGCAGCTCTCGTTCAATTCCATGCACTGGCGCTGCTGCACCAGGTATGAGCACTCATGGTTAATCAAGTAATTTGCTAATCTTTTCGAGAATTTGTCTTTTATCATCAATCCTTTCTTTTCATGTGATTACTAAATTCTTGTGTACGAATTATAAAAAAAGAGTTGGTCCTCAAATGTATACGGGAAAATACATTACAAACCCCTAAACCATATCCGTTTTGCTACTTTCATACTTAAACTATGGGGTGTTCAGTCTTAAGTAGGAGAAATTATAGTTCAGGGGATACTGTGAACATCACATATTTNGGTGGGTTGTAAGAGATTAGAGAGGATCCGAGCACCGCACCATGTTATGAGCTCTTAAAGAATATGGTGAATCACTTTTCTTTATAATTTGTTTTCAGTTACAACTGGCTAAAATCCTGCTCTTCCACCCCCACCCACTCCCGACTGTTAGCAGTAGAATCTCGTTGCATTTCAGAATTAATGTTTCTTTTCATCTGCTCAGTTTTGTTCTTACATTAAGTTGTTAGAGATTGTGGTATCCCACGTCATTTCTCCAAAAGGATCCTGAATAAGTAACATTTTGCATGCACTGATATGTTTTATTTCAAAATATACAGATAAGGCAAAATGACCGTTTAGCTGTGAGCAAGCTTGTTACCAGTTTGACAAGAGGAACTGTTCGCTCACCTCTAGCTCAATGCCTCTTGATTCGTTATACTAGTCAGGTGCCTTCTTTTTCTTTCATTTCTAATTTTTGAGATTTAACATCATAACTTCATTGGACTTCTACTATAGTATGAGATTTTACTAAGAATTGGGATTTTATATCTATTCAGGTTATAAGAGAGGCTGCCATGAGTAATCAAACAGGGGATAGGCCATTCTATGACTATCTAGAGGGTTGCCTACGTCACAAAGCAGAAATGGTTATTTTTGAAGCTGCCAGGGCAATCACAGAGCTTAGTGGTGTGACTAGTCGAGAATTAACTCCTGCAATCACTGTTCTACAGCTCTTTTTAAGCTCTTCCAAGCCAGTTCTTAGGTTTGCTGCTGTTCGAACCTTGAATAAGGTGATTCATCTGTACTTTCATTGGTCTGCAAGCTCTATTGTGAATAGTTGGCCATGCGGTAATTGTGTTTTGGTTAAGTAGTTATGCTTATGCCAATGAATGATACAAACTAACCCATGTTTTTCCTTTTGGGATAACTCAGCGTGTTTATCTGTACAAATACCAGAATTCCCCTTTGGCAATGAAAGATTATTGTTTTTGTATGCAGCTGAAAGTGGGACCAAGTGGTTGGCCCCTCATCCCTCTTAATCCCAATTTTAATATAGCACCTTCTCTATTTTGAGACATTTGACACTATTCTACTAATAATATTATTCTATGCAACTTTTAAGACTTCAAATTCTTTTATTATTGTTTATCCATCAAACTAACTTTTCAGTTGTTACTTCAATACTTTTTTCCAGTACTCTTAATATACTACATAAATCAAATTAACTTTTCAAACTCCGTGTCCAGTCAAGCGCCATCATTGGATGGAGGGAGTAATACTTTGTGCAAGAAAATAGAAATGCTTGTTTTCTCCTATTTGATTCTATAATAGTTTAAACCCTTTTTGTGCTTTCTGTAATTGAAGCAGAAGGATTAGGAATTTGAACTGTGTGCAGGTGGCAATGACACATCCTATGGCTGTGACAAACTGCAACATAGATATGGAGAGCTTGATTTCTGATCAGAATAGGAGCATAGCAACTCTTGCCATAACGACTCTTCTTAAGACCGGCAATGAATCAAGTGTTGATCGTTTGATGAAGCAGATAACTAATTTTATGTCCGACATTGGTGATGAGTTCAAGATTGTTGTGGTGGAAGCCATTAGATCATTGTGTTTGAAGTTTCCCCTGAAGTACAGATCTTTGTGAGTAATCATGGACTTTTAAGGAAGTGCATATAAATACTCCTACATGAACTTTTTTGGTTCCATAGATCCGCCAAGAAAAGCCTCCAAAACAAATATAATACTTTTTTTGTTTAACTTCTGGAATTGAATGTTTGCTAATTCTTTCATANTCTCTCTCTCTCTCTCTCTCTCTCTCTCTCTCTCTCTCTCTCTCTCTCTCTCAGCTTATGAGATAATCTATTTATTTATCTCCTTTTATGTATCTATAGATACTACATTTTCTTGGAAATGAAGGACCTAAGACATCAGACCCCAGTAAGTACATACGATATATATACAATAGAGTTATACTTGAGAATGCAACAGTTCGGGCCAGTGCAGTGAGCACCTTAGCTAAGTTTGGTGCCTTGGTTGATTCATTGAAGGTAGGGTTGCTCTCTGTTTTCCTTTGTGTCATGACCGAATGCCACATTTTGACTCTTGATAAAACGTTTGCTCTAATATGCTGCAGCCCCGTATATTTGTGCTATTGAAACGTTGCCTATTCGACGGTGATGATGAGGTTAGTCATGATGTTTTACATATTTTAGTTTTTTAATGATTTTGTTTATATTATTGATGATTCTCCTTTGTCCTTTTTCTTTTTCATGATAGTTCTGAGAACATATCTTTGATTAGTGAAACTTCTTGAATCACATATGAGAAATTATTTGCTATTTTTTCTTTTTTCCTTGTTCAGGATCCCATTCAGATTGCAAAGTATTTGACTTTAAATTATAAACAATGTGCTTTCCTAACTGAACATGTATAAAGTCCCTATCCTTCCTATTAAGTTCCTCCTGGCCCTCCCATCCATTAATGTTTCCTTTGGAAATTGTAAGGTGTTTTTTTTTTTTGGTTCAAATGTGTAATTGGGTGTATTTTCCATGTTCCTGGGGGTATGGGTTTTGACTGTGGTATCAAAGTATGCTGTTTATCTCTCATAGCATGGAGCAGCTTCATATCTAATATAAGAAGTAATTGCATTTAAATTGAACTATTATATATGCAAAGGCTCTTGTCAGAAATGTGATGTTGCGTCATGTGTAGAGCTGTGATGTTGCGTAATGTGTAGAGCTTTAAAGCCTCCACTACCTGTTTCTTATGTGTTAATATTGCTGGTAAAAGAAAAGAAAATTTCTACCATTATTGTTATTCCTTTAAGCTTGTGAGTGGCAATCTTTTGGCAGGTTCGCGATAGGGCAACACTGTATTTGAATACCCTTGGAGGTGATGGTGCAGTTGTTGAAACTGATGATGAGGTGAAAGAGTTCCTATTCGGGTCACTCGGTGTCCCTCTAACCAATCTGGAGACAAGTTTAAAGAACTATGTGTGTATCTTCTCTTAATTTTCTTGACCTCTGGTTCTTTTATTATTGGTTATCTGATTATTTTGCTTAAATGGCTGCAGGAGCCATCAGAGGAGGCGTTTGATATTTTTTCTGTTCCCAAGGAAGTTAAATCTCAGCCTTTGGCAGAGAAGAAAGCACCGGGTAAAAAGCCAACTGGTTTGGGTGCTCCACCTGTCGGCCCCACCTCTACTGTTGATTCATATGAAAGATTACTGTCCTCTATCCCAGAATTCGCTAGCTATGGGAAGCTTTTCAAGGTTCCTCATTGTTTTTTCTTGTCGTTTATTTTCTAATGTCTTTCTCAGCTGTCTCAGTGAGTAATTTTCTTTATCTCGTGTTTCAGTCATCGGCGCCAGTGGAGCTCACAGAAGCTGAAACAGAGTATGCAGTTAATGTCGTGAAGCACATTTTTGATAGTCATGTAGTGTTCCAGTACAACTGCACCAATACCATTCCTGAGCAATTGTTGGAAAATGTAATGATTTTTTCCTAGGAATTTCTTGCATTTTGAAGTGATCTGCTTATTATTCTAAGATTCTTTGAAGAGTTTCTTGCATTTTGATGTTTGGCCCACTTATTCATCCAAACAATGTTTTCCCTGCCAGGTCTCTGTTATTGTGGATCCGTCTGAAGCTGAGGAATTTTCTGAAATAGCATCCAAACCTCTCAAGTCTCTTCCATATGATACTCCAGGGCAGACATTTGTGGCTTTTGAGAAACCTGAAGGAGTCCCTGCTGTTGGGAAATTCTCGAACACACTAAGATTCATTGTTAAAGAGGTATACTTCTCATGAGAACTATTACCTTCAAAAATTGTGTTATGGAATCTATGTATAACTTGGGAGACGACTAATGATTTACTTTTCAGGGTTATGATACTTGTACATAAAGTACATAGTGTCTTTTATTATCTGTATATAACATATCTGGCATTATTTTGGATATCCTTTGGGCTGTGGTCATTTGTTGAGACCTTTACTAGACATGGGAAATGGTTTCAATGTTTTTCATGTATCCTCGAAACCTTGCCGATTTAGCATTTTATCTCCTCTGCATATTACTGCTTCCCAAGATTGTCTTAGTTTTGATTTAAAATGAAATGTTGGATGGTATACTGCTCATATTTATTCTTAATCTTGGTTAAATGCAAAGGTGTAATGTTAATGAATTTGATGATCCACCAGGTTGATCCAACCACTGGTGAGGCTGAAGATGATGGTGTTGAAGATGAATACCAACTAGAAGACCTTGAGGTTGTCACTGCAGATTACATGCTGAAATTGGGAGTCTCCAATTTTAGGAATGCATGGGAGAGCTTGGGACCAGATTGTGAACGCGTAGATGAATATGGTCTTGGCCCAAGGGAAAGCCTGACTGAAGCAGTAAATGCAGTCATTAACCTTCTTGGCATGCAACCTTGCGAGGTTTATCAACTTGAACACTTTGTTAAAACTCCTTTTTACGAGCAGGAGATACTGTTTTGTTGAATACCGTATTGCATTTTAGTCAAATATTTGCAGGCAATTCTGCATGATTTGGAAGCTGAAATAGTATCTGATGTTTCTGCAGGGCACTGAGGTAGTCCCAAGCAACTCAAGATCGCACACATGTTTATTATCTGGTGTATACATTGGCAGCGTAAAGGTACTTGTTCGGTTATCATTTGGATTGGATGGGGCAAAGGAGGTTGCAATGAAGCTGGCTGTTAGGTCAGAAGATATATCTGTAAGTGATGCAATTCATGAAGTTGTTGCAAGCGGCTAGGTTTCTTTACATCGACCGAGAGATACTAGTTGTTAAGTAGTCCTCAGGTGATTCTGTGGTGGGATTTTGACAAAGTCAAAAGTCAATAGGCTCTGTGAGAACTGCGAGATACTCTTTGACGAGTTATGGGAATTCATTCATTTATATGACTAGTAGTCTATTTTGGAAACAGGAGTTGATTATTGTAGTTTATCCAACTCTACTATGCTAAAGTGATTTCTAGAGCAGTTTTCCCAAGCCTGAAACTTAGCATTCAGCACATTTCTACTCATTCTGAATTTTGGCATTCACTCTTCCTTTGCTTTGTGGGAAAATTAATATCCTCAAATTACACGGAATTGGGTTCGAGTTGGCACGATGTTTGTCACGACTCGGAATTCCCACCCTCGGGAGTCGTGATGGCGTCTACTCGTAGAAGCTAGGCAAGCCACGAACTTAGAAATCTTTAACTCTTCTGTTTTAATTCTTTTTACAACTTATATTAACAAGTGATAAACATCTAAATAGCGGAATATGAGATTTAAGCGGAAGTCTTAAATAAATATAAAACCACAATGTTTCGAAAGTCAACACATGCCTCTACCCAAAAACTGATATCACAATATCCACGGACTACTAAGATCACTACACATAACTGTTTGAAGGAAAAAAGCACTGTTTGTTTCGGATACAAGAGATAACAGAACATAATAGAAAATAGAGGAGATGTCGGGCCTGCGGACGCCTGCAAGGCTACCTCGTATCTCGGTGGACTGAAGGTTGGCTCCCTTAATGTTGCTGACCAAGCGCTGCTCCTGTATCTGCACATAACTGCAGAGTGTAGCATCAGCACAACCGACCCCATGTGCTGGTAAGTGTCTGGCCTAACCGCGGCGAGGTAGTGATGAGGCTAGGACCAGACTCCAGATACATCTGTGCAGTTATATAATATACAGCGAAAATATAAACAGGTAATAACAGTTTAAAAGTGAGGGGGAAACATGCTTCGGGGAAACATATCAATTCTATCATAAACTTAATAAAGTATGAAAGAACACTCAATGTCTACAACAATACAATAACAATATTGTTGCGGCGCACAACCCGATCCCTTATCATTTAACATTGTTGCGATGTGCGACCCGATCCACATATATAACTGTTGCGGCGTGCAACCCGATCCAATATAATATCTGTTGCGGCGTGCAACTCGGTCCAATATAATATCTAATAATGTTACGGCGCACAACCCGTTCCAAATATACAGTCAACAATAATCATAATTAACCGTCCGGCAAGGGATCAACAATAGACTACACCATCCCGGCAAGGGAACTCAACAGTACAAGTATATACGTCCCGGCAAGGGAGAAACAACCATAACCAAACTTGTTCCAACATCTCACTATCTCAACTATAACTCAACTAGTTTCAATACCTAACTACCCAGCTATAACCAAACTTGTTACAACACCTAACACGAAGAATCGTCAACCTAAGCGTCCGCAATATCAATTAAGAACACAATGCAAAGGAACCTCAACTCAACAATAGCCCGGCAAGGGGGCAACATAATGATCTCTTCTCTTTCTCACTTTTACTTTACAATTCACTTCACAACTCGAGCCAATGCTCAGAGTTTCGATTATCACTTATACTTTCACAATTCGTTATACAACTGGAGCCAACGCTCCTCAATGTTCATAGGTCACAATTCTTTCCACAATTTTACACAACAAACAGAAATCTTCACCAAGGCATGAATAATACAACGAGATCATGAAAATCACGATATAGGACTCACGGTTATGCTTGACACTAACGCATAGATACTCGTCACCATGTCTATACATTGTACTCAACAAGAAACAAAGAGCAAATAGGACACAACTCCTAATCCCTCAAGCTAAGGTTAGACCAAACACTTACCTCGATGCCACGAACACAACTCAAGGTTCAATTATAGCTTTACCCCTTGATTCCACCGCCAATTCGTTTGTATCTAGTCACAAATCACTTAATTACATCAATAAACACTAAATGAATCAACCCCAATGCATGAAAAATGAGTTTTCCAAAGTTTTAACCAAAAAGTCAAAAAAAATTGCCCCCGGGGCCACATGGTCAAAACTCGAGGTTCGAACCAAAACCCGATTACCCATTCCCCCACGAACTCAAATATATGATTTGTTTTGAAATCGGACCTCAAATCGAGGTTTAAATCCCCAATTTTGAAAAACCTAGGTTCTACCCAAAACGCCCAATTTCCCCCATGAAAATCTTTGATTTTTAAGTTGAAATCATGTTAAAAGATGTTAATGATTGAAGAAAACTAGTTAAAAACGATTTAAAATTGATTTGGAGAAGAAAGGTTGTTTGAAAAATCGCCTCTTATATTTTTGGGGTTTTGAAAATGCAAAATAACTGAAAATCTCGCNTGAAAATCTCGTCTATTTATACCCCTCTCAGACCCCCTTTGGGGACCGCACAAAATGGACTGCGGCCGCACAGGCCTTCCTGAGGTACTGCGGTCCAGTGCCCTGTGCGGACCGCACGAAATGGACCGCGAGCGCACAGGTCTCCACCGTGCTTTGCATGAAATCGATCGCGGACCGCACTGCCCTCCACCGCGCATCGCACAAAGCCGACTGCGGACCGCACTGGCCCCATTCCGCGGTTGCACACGTTTTTGTGCGGACCGCACTGGCGGGTTCAGAGATCTGCAACTTCTGGTTTTAAGTCTAAAACATCTCGAACCTACCCGAAACTCACCCGAGCCCTCGGGGTTCCAAACCAAGCGCACCCCAAATCTCAAAAACATCATACGGACTTATTCGTGTAATCAAATCATCAAAATAACATCATGAACATCAAATTAAATCTCGAAATCAATGAAATCTTCTCAAAACCTCTGTAAACATCAACTTTGCGATTTAAGTCCGAATCACGTCATATGACATCCGTTTTTCATAAAATTTCACAGAAACATCTTAAATCATATATAGGACCTATACTGGGCGCCGAAACCAAAATACGGGTCCGATACCATCATATTCTAATCAAATTTCATTTAGAATTTCCTTAAACAATTTTAGAAAATAATTTTCTTTGAAAATTCATTTATCGGGCTTGGGACCTCGGAATTCGATTCCGGGCATATGCCCGAGTCCCATATTTTCCTACGGACCCTCCGGGACCGTCAAAATATTGGTCAGGGTCCGTTTACCCAAAACGTTGACCGAAGTCAAATTAGCTCATTTTATAATCAAAACTTATCAGTTTTCATAGAATTTCATATTTAAGCTTTCCGGCTACGCGCTCGGACTGCGCACGCAAATCGAGGTGACTCTAAATGAGGTTTTCAAGGCCTCAGAACATAAAATTTCGTTTTAAAACAAGTGGGTCATCACATTCTCCACCTCTAAAACAACCGTTCATCCTCGAACGGACAGGAGAAGGAAGTACCTGAGTCGGGGAAAAGATGGGGATAACGGCTCCGCATATCGGACTCGGACTCCCAGGTCGATGCCTTAGGAGGCTGACCTCTCCACTAAACACGAACAGAAGGAAAAATCTTCGACCTCAACTGACGAACCTGCCAGTCTAGAATAGCGACCGACTCCTCCTCATAAGACAAGTCCTTGTCCAACTGGACAGTGCTGAAATCTAACACGTGGGATGGATCGTCGTGATATTTCCGGAGCATGGACACATGAAACACTGGATGCACGACTGATAAGCTCGGCGGCAATGCAAGTCTATAATCCACCTCTCCCACTCAATCAAGAATCTCAAACGGGCCAATGAATCTAGGGCTAAGCTTGCCCTTCTTCCCAAATCTCATCACGCCCTTCATGGGCGACACTCGGAGCAATATCTGCTCACCGACCATAAAAGCCACATCTCGAACCTTGCAGTCTGCATAACTCTTTTGCCTGGACTGAGCTATACGAAGCCTATCCTGAATAATCCTGACCTTATCCAAGGCCTCCTGACTAGATCCGCACCCAACAACCGAGCCTCTCCCGGCTCAAACCATCCAACCGGAGATCAACACTGCCTACCATATAAAGCCTCATAAGGAGACATCTGGATACTCGACTGGTAGCTGTTGTTGTAGGCAAACTCTACTAAAGGCAAGAACTGATCCCATGAACCCCCAAAGTCAATGACATAAGCTCGGAGCATATCCTCCAAAATCTGGATAGTCCGCTCGGACTGCCCGTCCGTCTGAGGATGAAATGTTGTACTCAACTCAACCTGAGTGCCCAACTCTCGCTGAACTGCTCTCCAGAAACGCGAGGTAAATTGCGTACCTTGGTCCGAAATGATAGACACAGGCACACCATGAAGACGAACAATCTCCTGGATATAGATCTCAGCTAACCTCTCTGATGAATAGGAGACTGCCACAGGAATGAGATACACTGACTTGGTCAACCTATCAACAATGACCCATACTACGTCGAACTTCCTCCGAGTCTGCAGGAGTCCAACAACAAAGTCCATAGTGATCCACTCCCACTTCCACTCGGGAAGCTCAATTCTCTGAAATAAACCACCAGGCCTTTAATGCTCGTACTTAACCTGCTGAAAATTTAAACAGCCACATATGCAACAATATCCTTCTTCATTCTCCGCCACCAATAATTCTGCCGCAAATCCTACATCTTTGCGGCGCCGAAATGAATAGAGTATTGGGAGCTATGTGCCTCTTCTAAAATCAACTCCCGAAGTCCATCCACATTTGGAACACACACTCGACCCTGCAATCTCAAAACTCCATCATCATCTAGGGTAACCTGCTTGGCACCTCCGCGCTGCACCGTGTTTCTAAGGACGCACAAATGGGGATCATCATGCTGTCGATCACGGATACGCTCCAATAAAGAAGAACGAGCGACCGTGCAAGCTAATACCCGACTAGGCTCAGAAATATCCAACCTCACGAACCGATTGGCCAAAGCCTGAACATCCAAAGCAAGCGGCCTCTCACCGACCGGAATATAAGCAAGGCTACCCATACTGGCTGACTTCCTACTCAAGGCATCGGCCACCACATTGTCCTTTCCTGGGTGATATAAGATAGTGATATCATAATCCTTCAACAACTCCAACCACCTCCACTGCCTCAAATTCAGCTCTTTTTGCTTGAACAAATACTTAAGACTCTTGTGATCCGTGAGCACCTCACATGCCACGCCATACAGATAATGCCTCCAAATCTTCAATGCGCGAACTATGGCTTCCAACTCTAAATCATGAACTGGATAGTTC